AAACGTGATTCAGTTAAGGGTCTTGAGATGGGCAGATTCTCCTGGGTTATCCAAGAGAACCCAGTGTAACTCAGGAGTTCTTACAAGTGGGAGACAGGAGTTACCAACGGAGATGTGAGGAGTGACACAGAGGTGGGAGAGCTGGAGAGGCTTGCAGATGCTATTCTACTACTATTGGCCTTGAAGGAGAAAACCTCCCAGCCAAAGAATGCCGGAGGCCCCTACATGCTAGAGAAGATGAGGGAACAATTCTCTCCAGAGTCGACAGAGAGAACAAAACCATTCCCACACCTCAGTTTAGGAGTTCTGACCTCTAGATAGCCAAAATACGTAGTGACGAACTTTGCAGTAACCTGTTACGGTCACAATAGGAACGGAACACAGGGACAGACTAGGGGCAAGACCAGAAAGCGGTGGCACACCCTTAAAGAGAAAAGCTTTCAAAGCGCAACCAGGAAGCACATGCCGAGAGGCCAAGGAGTGTCTGTCCACAGGCTCTGCAGGACTCCAGGAGGAGGGAAGCAGAGGGCCTCTCAGGAAGCGGGGAGCAAAGGCAAGGTCTCCAAGGTGCTTGTCTAGTTGGCCAACTCCTCCAGCTCCCGGCTCCAGCAGGGATCCCGTGGCAGGAGTATCGCCTCCTCTTCCTGCCCCTGGTCGTTCCGCACACTCACAGACAGGCTTGCCCTTCCTAAGCCTGCCCTGATTTTCCTCCTCCTCTCTTTCACAGAACTTCAGCACAAGACACACTGTCACTCCTTCATCTAATCCCAGGTTTCCCTCAGTCTCCTCCATACCCTACACAGCTTCAGGCCCACCTACATAACCCAGATACACACTTAAACACAGGCCCGAGAGTTAGACTTCTCACTAGGCGAGTGGACAGCCAGTATGGCCACAGATGTGTTTGCTTTGTCCTTGTCCCTGGGTTGTGTTGGTCCTCTGAGTTAACTGATCCGAAGCTATATCAAAGGTCATAAAAGCAGCCGCGGTGGAAAGCCAGGAGGTGACCTTGAGAGTCCCGAGTCGGAGTCCTTTTCTCAGGCGGGAGGGTACAGAGGGGACCTACTGTGTACCATCATGTCCTGGACAACACCAAAGACACTGTGGCAGCGCTTGCAGTGGGATTTTTCTAGGCTGGGTCAGCCCAACCTGGTTCAGTGGATAGTGAGGGATATGAGGTTAAGGGATTACACAGGTAAGAACAGGAACAACCATGGGGAGGGGCAGACTTGCACCTTAAATTAATGTATTATAGGGGCCGGCGCTGTGGTGTAGCGGTAAAGCTGCCGTCTGCAGTGCCTGCATCCCATAATGGGTGCTGGTTTGAGTCCCAGCTACTCCATTTCCAATCCAGCTCTCTGCAATGGCCTGGGAAAGCAGGAGAAGATGGCCCAAGTCCTTGGGCCCCTGCACCCGCAAAGGAGACCCAGAAGAAGCTCCTGGCTCCGGATCGGCACAGTTCTGGCTATTGTGGCCAGTTGGGGAGTGAACCAGTGGATGGAAGACCTCTCTCTCTCTCTTTCTCCTCCTTCTCTCTCTGTGTAACTCTTTCAAATAAATAAGTAAATCTTTAAATGTATTAAAGACTACAAGTGAAAGAGTCAACTTAAAATTTGATGTCTCTTGGGATTGGCATTGGGTGTAGTGGGTTAAGCCTCAGCCTGCAACGCTAGCATCCCACATGGGTGCCAGTTTGAGTCCTAACTGCTCCACTTCTGATCCAGCTCCTTACTAATGTGCCTGGGAAAGCAGTGGAAAACGGTCCAAGTCCTTGGGCCCCTGCACCCACGTGAGAGACCCAGATGGAGTTCCTGGCTCTGGCCTGGCCCAGCCTCAGTCATTGTGGCCATTTGGGGAATGAACAAGTAGATGGAAGATCTGTGCCTCTTCCTCTCTCTGAAACTGCTTTTTAAATAATAATACATCTCATAGAAAAATAAATAATCTCTATAACACCAGACAGATGAGGCAGTTGTGGAGCTACAACCATCCCAGAGCCAGGGCTGGCCCACTCAGAGGCAGCTGGTGGGTCTGACTCTAAGAACCGTGGAACTTGCGGCCAGTGCCACGGTGTACCAGGTTACACTGCCATCTGGGAGGCCCACTTCCCATAGCAGAGTGCCAGTCTGAGTCCTGGGTCCCCTGTTCCTGATCCAGCTTCCTGGTGAAGTGCCTGGGAAGGCAGCAGGTGATAGCTCAAGTACACACACACAGGGGAGACCCAAATGGAGTTCCAGGATCCTGGCTTTGGCCTGGCCTCGCCCAGCCCCCGTGGTTGCGGCCATTCCGGGAGTGAACCAGTGGATGGAAGATATTTCCTTCTCTGTTTCTCCTTCTTCCAAATGAATAAATAAATACATCTTTCCAAAGAAAATGAAAAGAATCATAGAACTTTAGAACTCGAAGAACCTGGCCCAGTCACTCATCCTCAAGCAGCCTGGAACAGTTAACTCTGTGCTGCCCTTCCCTCTGTAAAAGGGAGATGAGGTGGTCCATGTTCCTCCTGTGAGAACACCTTGTGTTTTGCTGTATAGAACACCAAGTGGTTATTTGTATTGTTCATTGTCACTAGAACTCAAAAAGAGGACATGACTTGCTTAGGATGGATCATGGGGTGAAGCGGAGCAGCCAGGCCGGGAAGTGGTGTGGAGGGCCCGGAAACCTTTCACGCATCTTGCACGGCTGCATGGCTGTTTCTCCTTCCCCTGAGGAAACTCACAAAGCCCAGGTTATCCCTGCAGACCCTGGAGGATCACTTTTTTTGTTTGTTTGGTTTAATATTTATTTACTTGAAAGGCTAAGTTACAGAGAGGCAGAGGCAGAGAGAAAGTTAGAAAGAGAGATCTTCCATCTGCTGGTTCATTCCCCAAATGGTTGCAATGGCCGGAGCTGTGCCGAGTGATGCCAGGAGTCTGGAGCTTTGTCCAGGTCTCTCATGTGGGTGCAGGGCCTGAGATTTGGGCCGTCTTCTGCTGGTTTCCCAGCTGGATTGGAAGTGGAGCAGCTGGGACTCAAACTGGCACCCATGATGGGATGCCAGCACTGCAGGTGGCGGTGTTACCCACTACGTCACAGCGCCGGGCCCCTGGAGGACCCTCTTCAAGTGCTCCCTTGTTCCTGTTCATAGGTCTCTGGCTTTTCTCACGAAGCTGGGCCAGCAAAGGGTCATTTTGTGCCTTCCTCTGAGGGCCAGGGAATACTTTCCCGCACAGATCTCCAAACCCATCTCATCGCTTTTGCCAAGCCAGCTGCTGCTCCGTGTACCACCGTTCTGGGTTAAAAGTTGGGATGTGGCCATCTGATCACGGGCCAGACTGGCTGACAAGAGAACATGCTGAGAACGAGCCAGCTGGCGCTCTCCATGCACCCGAGTGTTGGCCTTAGAGGCAGACAATCAGTCCACTCTGAGGCAGAGCCAGGCAAGGCTGCAAAGACCCAGAACCACATCTCACACGTGAGAGAATCAAGACCCCAACTGGCCAGTGCCGCGGCTCACTAGGCTAATCCTCCGCTTGTGGCGCCGGCACACCGGGTTCTAGTCCCGGCCGGGGCGCCGGATTCTGTCCCGGTTGCTCCTCTTCCAGTCCAGCTCTCTGCTGTGGCCCGGGAGAGCAGTGGAGAATGGCCCAAGTGCTTGGGCCCTGAACCTGCATGGGAGACCAGGAGAAGCACCTGGCTCCTGGCTTCGGATCAGTGTGGTGCACCGGCCGCAGCGCTTGGCCGCGGCGGCCATTGCGGGATGAACCAATGGAAAAGGAAGACCTTTCTCTCTGTCTCTCTCTCTCTCACTGTCTAACTCTGTCAGTCAAAAAAAAAAAAAAAAAAAAAAAAAAAAAAAAAAAAAAAAAGACCCCAACTTACTAGTGTCAAAGGTGAGACTGGGATGGGTCCCCGACCCCCAGCCGCCGGTTCTGCCACCCACCCAGCGCTCCTCTCATCATATACACTTGCTCATCTTCCCTTCACCTACTCTTACATTCTCTCTCCCCACTCCTGTCAGTGGAACCCACGGTCACTGCTGTGGGGCCTCTTGGGGCTCTGGTCTGGCCCCAACAAGGAAGGAGCCAGCACCGAAAAAGTGTTAGACGAAGAAGGATTTCCACCAGGAACCTAAACAACTTGTTTCTCCACCTTGTGTCCCTGCCCGCCAGAGCCCTTGGCAAGGTCACCAGCACGCGTTCCCTCCAAACTCAGGGACCTGCGTAGGGATGAGGCGGGCTCACCCGTGTCTCGGGAGTGAGCTGGTGGCTCCTGGGAAAGGCTTGTTTCCCTTAACAGTTCCAGAAGCAGCCTGGCCTCCTCCCGGTTTCCTCAGATAAGGGAGAGTAAGTGATAGAAAGGACAGATGGTGGGGCAGACAAGGAAAGCGCGGGAGGGGGGCAAGGGAGGCGGGCAGCAACGTGGACGAGTGAGAAAGAGCAGAACAGAGAGAGAGAGGCGCTAGGGCAGCTAACCAGAAAGATGGACTGCACTGAGGGCAGGCCTTGGAAAAGCAAGCCGTGACGCCACTTTGCAGAAATCAGAACAGCCTGTTCCTCTCCTGAACTTCAAAATAAGCACCTTGCCGGGATGCAGCGCCGCCCTCGCCAACAGCCAAAGGCTTCACCTGCAGCTCCCGTCGCGGGGGCGGCCAGCTCCCCAGCCCGCCCCTCGGAGCCGCCCCCGGTGGGTGTGGCGACGCCGGGCTCTGCGGTTGGCTGGGCCGCGCTCCTGCACCGCCTCCCCGCTCGCTTGCGCCTGGCAGGAACCGCGCACGTGTTTCTAATTGTGGAAAAGCTGCTGGCTTTGGCCGGCCTACCCGCCTTCGTTCTCAGCTCTCCCGGGTAAGCAGTTCCTGGCTGCCAGCAGGCACTGGCAGACAACGAAAACACGGAACCCTCCGTGACTTCCACCGCACGCCACCCGAGGCTCGAAGGTTCCGGGTCTGCCCGGGCAAGCCGCAGGCTGAGCCGAGACCTCCGAGAAGCTTGGGGGGGGGGGGGGAGAAGTGGGAGGGGGCAGGAGGGGACGCGCCTCCTAGAAGCCTTCTAGAATCCGTCCCGGCCCCTCCCACCCTCACCCCAGACTTTCTAAACTTAGGGTGGAAAGCCATATTATCCGTCTTCAGGCACCCTGTGGACTTAAAACAAAGGTTTGTAGTATTGTACCTGTCCTATGACTCAGTGGGCGGACGTTGTATGCGTAAACAGCTGGGCCCGTGAAAGACGAATAAAAACATCAAAACAGCAACCGGAAAAAAAAAATCAAAGCAGCCCTTCCTTAGAAACGCCGCTTTGATCCCTGCTTCTGGGAAGTACACAATTGCTTTAGAAATAGATCTTGCCTACCCCATTAACATTTTCCCTGCTCCAGCCCTTTTCATCTCAAGGCACCGACAAAGGCTCAGTCATCTCAGAGCCTCTCTAAGGAGGGGAGTGCGCCCTCCTCCAAGGCAAAGCAGAGGAGCTACGGAGGCTGCGGAGGTCCCGGATCCCACAGCTTCTCCTGCCGCTTCCAGCTAAGCCGCCTCTCCCAACCCCCGCTGCTCCTGCCTTCCCCTCTTCGCTTCCTTCTTATCCTGTCCCCTCTGGTGCCAGCTGCCGGACCTGGCTTTTCTGCTGAATCACCACCCAGGTCGTAGTTCAGCCAAGAAGCCTGAACAGCCAGCTCAGCGTTTTCCAAAAGCTGAGTAGTTCTCTTTTCAGCAGAGGCACGTGGTTCTGAGCTAGGCGGGGCTGGGGGAGAAGAGGAGAACTAGACACCCGGAAAAGCCAGGGGTGACACAGGTGACGAGCCACACGACCTCCCGGAGCCTCGTTTTCACCCTACTCATTGCTTTTCGGCCCTATTTCGGGCCCTAGGGCAGGGCTGATGCCCCCCAGATACGGAGCAAGGTGGATGGGGTAGGCTCTGTTGGGTCCACCCCAGCTCCTAACGCTAGCCTGACAGCGTTATCATATTCAGCCTTGGAGGGGCGGGGTGTGGGTCTTGGGAGATGTGGTTGGGACTGGTTGGCTATGGGCTCTGTTGGTGTTCACCAAGGGCTATAAACCTGGGCCCAGGCTGCAGTTTCCCCAAATGGTTCAGTTATAATCCACTATTGAGGACAACCAGTGCTCAAATGGGCTATATTCCCAAATTTTGCCTTTTTTCTGCTCTAAACCTCCCAATACTTCTAGGCCTCACTCTCATAAGTCTTTCAATTTTATTTTCTTGGCCTGGAAGAGGGGCAACTGGGACAGAATCTGGACTAGAACCCGGTGTGCCGGTGCCGCAAGGCGGAGGATTAGCCTAGTGAGCCGCGATGCTGGCCGTAAGATTTATTTATTTGAAAGGCAGAGCTACAGAGAGAGACAGAGGGAGAGGCAGAGAAATCCTCTGTCTGCTGGTTCACTCCCTGAATGGCCACAACAGTCAGGGCTGGGCCAGGAGCTTCATCCGGGTCTCCTACGTGGATGCAGGGGCCCCAGGTGGCATTGCAGGCGGTGGCTTAACCTGTTACATACAACACAATGCAGGCCCCAATTTGTTAGCTCTTAAAAGCTACTAAAAGCTCTTAAATTTGTTAGCTCTTAAAGGCAATTAATGGGTGACTTCATATACCCAGGGGCTGGCTCCCCTGGGAAAAACCAAGTGACCCTTTGAAGTCAGCAACAAAGGGCCAGAGGAGAATGTGAGCTGCTAGGCTGGTTCAAGAAAGCAGACGAGTTGTTGTCATAACCTGGTGGAAGCTGCCCTTCAGGAAACTTCCTGTTTCAGGGAACCTCCGTCCTATTCATTATTCTCCCAGCAGGGGTGCACACTCTCAGAAACAAACCCCTCCGTCCCCCAATTCCCAGGATGTGGGCTACGGGGACTCGCGCTTTGATGAGAGACCTCCAGGCTGACAGTCAAAGCTGGAGGCCAGAAGAGGCCCCAGGGAAGTCAGGAAAGAGGAGGAGACCTGGAGCAGGAATTGAAGTGTACTAAAACAGACTTTAACTCCTCAGCCAGTGAGGGGCAAGCACCTGGCCTGAGGGGCCGGCCTGTGGCACAGCGGGTTAGGCCACCACATCCCTTATGGGTGCCGCCAGGTGCCAGCTGCTCCACTTCTGATCCAGCTCCCTGCTAATGCACCTGAGAAAGCACTAGAAGATGGCTCAAGTGCTTGGACCCCTGCCACCCACGTGAGAGACCCGGATGGTGTTCTAGGCTCCTGGCTTCGCCTTGATTCAGCACCAGCCACTGCAGCCATTTGGGGAGTGAACTAGGAGATAGAAAATCAATCTCTCTTTCTCTCTCTCTGTAACTCTGCCTGTCAAATAAATAACTCAATCTTTAAAAAAAAGCCTGTCCCGAGAACAGCCAGGATTTAAACCCGGAAGTGTCTGACACCAGTGCTTCTTTAGGGAGGAAGATCTCTAAAACTCTTGAATTCTCTGTAGTATACGTAGTTGCCTATTATGCTACAGAAACTATATAACACTGTACCAAAAGTTGTGTTGCGTATTGGAGCTCAAGACTGAGTCTGTATTCCAGAAACATAAAATGAGGATAACAGAGATAGTTCCATGCCCAGAGCTGGAGGCACAAAGAATACTCGGAGGGCTTTTAGGGCACCAAGGGGAAATGGAACTAAAAAGAATGGGCAAATATTCAGTGATTATAGCCAAGAAAATTCAAAAGTACAGGTGATGCCTTCCTCAAGTCCTAGCAATAAATCTTTAAAAAAAAATTTTGGCCGGCGCTGTGGCTCAATAGGCTAATCCTCCACCTTGCGGCGCCGGCACACCGGGTTCTAGTCCCGGTCAGGGCGCCGGGTTCTGTCCCGGTTGCCCCTCTTCCAGGCCAGCTCTCTGCTATGGCCAGAGAGTGCAGTGGAGGATGGCCCAGGTGCTTGGGCCCTGCACCCCATGGGAGACCAGGAAAAGCACCTGGATCCTGGCTCCTGCCATCAGCGCGGTGTGACGGCTGCAGCGGCGGCCATTGGAGGGTGAACCAACGGCAAAGGAAGACCTTTCTCTCTCTGTCTCTCTCTCTCACTGTCCACTCTGCCTGTCAAAAAAAAAAAAAAAAAAAATTTTTTTTGGTTTGTTACTTACTTGAAAGTCAGAGACACAGAGAGACTGATCTCCCATCTGCTGGTTCATTATCCAAATGCCAACATTCAAGGCCAGGCTAGGACACAGGCAGAAGCCAAGAACTTAATCTGGTTCTCCTATCTGAGCCATCCCCTGCTGCCTCCCATGATCCCCGTCAGCAGAAAATGGGAATGGAGAATGGGGCTGGAACCCAAACCCAGGCACTCTGATAAGGGAAGTGGGGTCCCAAGCGGCAACGTAGCACTATGCCACTGATTTCGGGGGGTAGCAAAGGCAGAGGGGCCAACTCAAGCAGTCTGAACCACACCAACGAGAAGACATCAAACTACAATTGGGGGGCTGGTGCTATGGCATGTTGGGTAAAGCCAGTGAGCACTGGTTTGAGACCTGGCTGCTCCACTTCTGATCCAGCTCCCTGCTAATGCTCCTGGGAAAGGACTAGAAGATGGCCCAAGTACGTGGGACCCTGCCATCCATGTGGGAGACCCAAATGGATCCAAGGCTCCTGCTTTCAGCCTGGCCCAGCCCCAGCTGTTGTGGCTATTTGGGGAGTGAACCAGTGGATACAAGATCTCTCCCCTCTCCTTCTCTGTAACTCTGCCTTTTAAATAAATACATAAATAAAAATCTTAAAAAGATCAGTGTTGTCCTTGATTATTTCACCTGTAGCCAACAAGAATGTGCCATTCTTTTACCCTTAGTCACCAAGTCCTGCCAGCACTACCTCCTAAGTGCCAAGTATATCTCTCTCTGCCCTGCCACTGCCCCATCGGCATTTCAGGTCCTGTTGCCTCTACCCTGGATTCCTGCAGCTGCAGCACTGTAATCAGTTCGCTTGCCTTTGGTTTTCTCCCCTTGCCGATCAGCATGATGCTTCTAAAATACAAATATGCTAATGCCACTCCTCTGTTGGAAACCCTGCAGGGCCTTCTCATTGCTCTTTCAGGACAGCCCAGTGGTCTTTAGCATTGGCCCATAAGACCCTTCATGATGGGGACCCCGCTTCTCTGCACACTTCCGACTTTGCAGCCTATGCTGCGGCTACAGTGAACCTGTGGTCCCCCAAGGGCTGTGTGCTTCCTTGTCCCCACACCTTGGCACCTGTTGCCCCTCCTGCAAGAACAGTGTCCCCAGCCCATCCCATTGCACCCTCCTCTTCATGCTGGACATTGCTTGGCTATGTCCAACTGATTTTTAGCCTCAACTTACTTTCTTTAACTTCAGTACCCTGCCTCCATTTCTCTTACAGCTAGCTCCTTAGATGTTGTTTTCCTGGGAAACTCACTCCTTTGAACCAAGATTCCAGAATTATCCATTAGACCGTGAGTTCTTTAGTACAGAAACTTGTACCCCAGGCCCAGCACAGTACCTGGAGCAGAACAGACACTCCAGTATTTGAGAGTGCAGACACCGAGCTTCTCGTATCCCCTGTGGCACTACAGAGGACACACAAATAGACTGAACAGATATGAGGGTGTTTCAAAAAATTCATGGGAAAATTGAGCTACATGGTAGATTTATTTTGGTGCCAAAATGTGTGGGAATCCATGCGTAAGCTTTTCCTAGTACACATTTCCACGAACTTTTGAGGACCCCTGAATTTAAGAGAAGGTGTAGTTTGCTGCTGCTGCTGTTGCTTTGGATGAGAATGAGAGTTTGTTGGTTCACTGCTATAGCCCCTGGGCCACGGTCAGTTTCTAGCACTTCCTGGGCACTTGAAAAATGTTTGTTGGATGAGCAGAGTTTGTTGCGATTCTCATCCATAACACTTCCCAAGAGTCCCAATCTCTGAGTGATACTGCTCAGCGCCCCTCAGGACTCTGGAGAGGATGTGGAAGACAGAAATAGAGAGAAGCATTCTCACTGCTCATCATGGACACTGGAGACAGCGACGTGGAAACATATTTCATTTTGATTTGTAGACGAACTAGATATCGCCTCCTTACCAGTCAATCCATCAACATGTCCAGCTGATTCTACTCCTAAATCTTCCTTGTTTTTGTTGCCTTTCCACCCTCATTACTTCATTTCTAGTTCAGGTCACCACCACCCTGCCTGGACAAATGCTTGTTTATTGCTCCGCTTCAAGTTTCAGTGTCTTCTTCACTCAAATGTGAACCTAATCATGTTACTGCTCTGCCCGCAACCTTTTCGTGGCTCCCGCTCCTTGGGTAACATCTGCTCTTCTCCGCATGGTGTGCGCGATCCTTTGAGATCTGGCTGCTGCCCACTGCCTCAGCCTCACTTCCCCTCATGGCCCTAGGCTCCGCCCCCACAGAAGTACTTGCTCTTACTCCAAGACTCGCCTGAGACCTTCCCTCTACCTGGCTTTCCTCCTGCTTTATGTGCATCTACTCCCCTTCCAAGATGTAGCCCAATCCGGGAGCCATTCCTAGTGCTGTCTTCCCAACCTCAAAGCACCTTTCTCTGTGTTGCACGTGCTTTTTCAATCACATCGTACTGTAATTACTTGTATACCAATCTTTTCCCTAGACTTTGATCTTTTCCAAGAGTCTGTAATCATACCTCTTCATCACTCAGTATAGGAGTCCACAAGGTGACTGGTGGATTTTCCTAGTTTCTTTCCTTTTCCCAAAGAAACCCACTTAAAGAATAATTTTAGTCTTGAGGCATCATAAAAATGAAATGAAGTTTTAGTCAGATTGACCATTGAGTAAAACTCAACAGATTTGCAATGCATTTAGATTTTAATGCTGGCTAGTTAGAAGATGTACAGAAGTCAAATCCTGACCAGGTTGTACTGTTTGAATTCCTACAGAAAAGCTGATTAGCTGCCCAAAGAGTTCTTGCGGGGAGAGGGCAAGAAGGCAATGCTGTCCAGGTATCTGGGGCAACAGGCTTAGCATTTGGAGAAGGAAAGCTTGGAGCCAGAGAATATGAAGGCTCAGGGGAAAATGGAGAGAGAGTTAGAGATTTACATGCTAGGGAAGGCTGTTGAACCCTCTACTGTCAAGGGATTAATTTGCAAGAGATTTATAGAACAACACACAACATCGGCTCCAGGCAGTTGGGAGCTTTCTGCAGAGGAATCCCAGAGCCACTCAGGGTCAGAAGTGTAAGGTGGGGGCTGGCGCTGTGGCATAGTGGGCTAAGCCTCTGTAGCCCATATGGCTGCTGGTTCACGTCCTGGCTGCTCCTCTTCTGATCCAGATCTTTCAGACCGGCTCTGGCCATTGCAGCCATTTGGGGAGTGAACCAACGGATGGAAGATCTTTTTCTCTCTACATTTACCTCTCTCTGTAACTCTACGTCTCAAATGAATAAATAAAATCTTAAAAAAAAAAAAAAGTGATAGGTGAAGTTCTTCCCTTCCAAATAACTCAGGGAAGAAGGAGAAGGAGAAATATGAAGCCCTGGAAAATTAGCCTCTTAGGAATCTCAGTGGAAAGACAGAAAACAAGATAAGAAACATTTTTCCTTTGTGAAATACAATGCAGGGTACTGCTCTCTACTGGGGTGAGGAAGAAGGAGGAATTTCTTTGACGCAAGCCCTTCAGGGAGCAGAGGGGGGCTTAAATGGAAAGAAGATTCCACTTCAAATGCTGGATGTGACCCAGCCCCAGAAGAGGGGAAGGGCCTGGGGCTGTCTGAATGAAGGTGACCCTGTCCCCAAGAGAACGCAGACAGCAGACAGAGAGCCCGAAAGAAAGCCCTAGTTATGGACAGGATGCATAGATGAGTCTACAAAAGGGCATCCCCCGACTCCCAGCCACACACCTGGTGTTCTCTCTGTGTCACCACAGCCATTTTGGGTATCACAAGGGTTAAGCAAAAACTACAAGAAGCCCTTGCTTTGGGCTAAGCTCAGCACTGGGTCCCAGTAGACCAGATGACAAATCAAAATGGAGTCACTCAGGCCAAAGTTCTAGTCACCAAAGTGAAACTAAAGCTTTTATCTGACCTACCAAGAGGAGATAACAGACAAATTTCTCAAATAAACCAGTTTCAATGGGTGTGATAATAAAGTCCCCACTGCTAGCTTTAATCCTCAGTGCACAAAGAAGTAACCTAAAACAACCCAAGGTTGACTAATCAGCTATCTTCCTTCCATTCTGTCGCCCCTTACAAAGAAAATAACTGTGAAATAACCAATCTGGTGTGTTTTTTTGTTTTTTTTTTTTTTTTTTTTTTTTTTTTTTTTTTTTTTTTTTGCTTTTGTTTCTGCTTTCTTCAAGCCCTTCTTTATCTGAAAAAAAAAAATTTTTTTTTCTTTTCAAGTCCCTGGGACACTTACTCTATTTTATGGAATGTTGCTCGGTTCTAGAACTGAAAATAAAGCCAATTATGATCTTTAAGCTAAACTGTTGTGATTCTGTCCTCTGACACCACAAACTCAGGTACTAGGCAAAAGAACCAGCTACATGATACAAGGGCAAGGCTGTAGCAACAACCTATCAATGCGTGTTGATCTACTCAGACATACACACTAATCTGTATCTGTCAATATGTATGATCTACTCAGACACATACACCAATATCCACCTGTTAATGTGTGTGTTGATCTACCCAGATACATGAATCTATGCTTGACAATATGTGTGTTGATATACCCAGACACCTACACCAATATCCACCTGTTAATGTGTGTGTTGACCTACCCAGACATACACACTATCCTATACTCATCAATATGTATGTTTATCTACCCAGACCAATCCATGCATTCAATTTACAACTGCAAGGATACCTATCCACCATTTCTGCAGCACTTTTTACTTTCTTTGTATCTTACACGAATCTTTTCTCTGGATAACACAGCCCTTGGCTTAGGAGATAATAATAACAAAAGGACAGAAACAGTGAAGCCAATCACAAAAGAAGGCATGAAAACCAAGTTCTGACACTGTCCAGGCCCCTCTTTCCTAACTCCCTCCTCCCACTCATGTGCTTGCTCTGGAGAAGGGAGAAAGGCTTTTCATTTAATTAAAATGTAAAATACTTTTTTTTTGTACTGCCTGGTAGCCAGAGATATTCTGCTGACTCAGCAGTGAATAATCAGCTTTGACCTAAATAATAGAAGAACTCAAAGTGGCGGCTGCAGTTGCATAAGCAAGCTCCAAATGTGTAGTTCCTTCTGGCTCCCTCTCTCCCCCGCCCGCTCTGGGCTCTGGACAAGCAAGCCAGTTACAGCAGGTTCTTTCCGCCTTTCCACCCCCACCATCTGGCTCACCCCAAACTCATTTCTCATCAGATCTCTTCCAAAAAAACGGCCCCACCGCAGAACCAGACTTGACCTCATCTCCTCCCTCCCACAGCAAACCCTTGCCAGGGGCTTTGCCACACCTGCTCTGCCTGCTGGGCTCTGTGCCCTGGCCTCCAGCGCCTGGCATCCTACACCAGTGACCTCCCCACACGGGGTGGCGGCCTTTCCTCAAAACCTCGCATGGCTCCGGGGATGCGGCCCGTCACCAGCGTGCCACAGTGAGACAGCAGCAGGCTGAGCTTCCTGTGTGGACACGTTCACGCCGAACCTGTGCTCTCTCCTGCTGCTCTCTACAGGATGGCTAGGCTGGGCCTGTTTTATGCAGCTGGCTTGCCTGGCACCTGCCAAGAGGATGGAGTGGGCAGGATGGTGGCGGTGGTGGTGGTGGGCGGGCGCGAGGCCTGCTAGAATAAC